ACTGCCCTCAATAGTGTTGTGGTGATCTTCAACACTCCTCCATAATTTCGAATGGTATCTTTGATTAGTCTAAGAGACATAATAGTATTCTCATGGTGACTCACATTAAGCATTGCTTTATTTATCGAAAAACCTCTCTCAGGATCAGAATTCCCATGTGGCAAAATTAAAACAGTTTTAAATAATGTAGTTAAATTCTTATATTTTAGATTATTGCTTTTTTATTTATATTTAGCCTATAACTCTAATTTTTTAGGAACACCAACAAAATTTTATCAGATTTTTAAGAATTTTAGGGTTTGCACATAGTTTTAGGAATTTTATGAATTTTAGGGGGAATGCGACCCCTGAAAACATCAATTGAACTGTAAGAATCAAATGCTAATCTGAAAAATCAGAACAAATAATTTTGTAAATTTAAGGAAAAAGAATTTAAAAGGCCATTTATGTTTAAGATTAGAGACACCAAACCTCAGGATTTTGCAGTCAACTACCATAAAACAATATATATATAAAATACTTATACTTATTGTTTTTCTTAACTTTCTTAGTGTTTTCTTGTATTTATTTATTTATTATATATATATATATACACACACACATATATATATATATATATACATATATATATATAATTAAAAGTCAATTTCTACTTAGGTCAACAAAGAAATTTTTTAGTTACTTTTTATTAAATGATTAAATTTTTTTATTCCCTATAAAACTAAATTTAATTATATAAAATTTAATTAATGAATGAATATTTGAAGAAAAAAAAATTATATTAACATCGAGTGTCAACCAATATAAGTTTTAAAAAATGTATTTGAATTTGAGTGGATGAATAAAACGTATTTTATTAACAATTGAAAATTTGAACAAGATATAGGGAGAATGTGAACTAATAGTAGGAATTGAAAAAAAAAAGTTCACAAAAACACACATTTAAAAATTTTTTTTTCTGTTGGTTTATTGTCTTTTCTTTAGTTGAATTCACTGATGAAATTTAATTTTTGAAATTCTTTTGAAATTAAAATGAATTTTAAATAATGTTACATTAGATCTAACAGAGCAACTAATGAGGTATCAGCATTTGAGTCCCAAAATTTAGTTAGAAAAATGAATAAATGAAGAAACAACATATTGAGTGGTTTCGTCTTCAATACCCCGATATAAAAAATAAAAAATTAACATGTGTAAGAGAATCATGTTATGTAATGTAGTAGTATAGCATTTTTGAGAAAAGGGTAATTCTCTGCACACAAATAGACTAAAATGACGTATTTCAGTTTTAACTATAGAAAAATGAATGTAGTTCCATATTGTTTGAAGATTGTCCTTTTTAGATTATCCCTAAAGTCTGAAGTACATAGCTGCCAACATGGATAGGAAAACAATCCAGTTGATTTTACGGAATAATATAAATTTCATAACTGTTGCATAGTATACAAAATATTTTACATATAGGGAATTTTAGGGATCTTTATCGTCATCAAAATACAAAAATTTGATTACACTAAAAACTATAAATGGTCTGCAATATTGGTTGACAATATAACTATAAATGGTTGACAATAGATGAATTTGAAATGTTTTTTTTTATTATGGTAACATATAATCTTAAATAGTAGTAGATATTATTGATGATTAAAAGATTTTGTAATTTAAAAATAATCTGAAAATTTCAGAACAAAGAAAAGCTTTAAACTGACTTCTAAAAGTGAGGCTCGCTTCGTTATGTATTAGTAATACTTATTTAAATAGTCAAGTAAGCAATAAACTGAGTAAAAAATTTATTTCAACAGGGATTTTTTTCTTGAAAACCTTCTCAATTTTAGGAAATTTTCAAAAATGTACAAAAATCAGAAATTTTTTTATTATACCAGTAGACAAGGAGAAACTGGCAAAATCCAGTAGAGTTGACAGCTATGAAAGTATTACTTGAATTTAATATTTTTCATTAATTTTGAAATCTATAAAATCTCATTTCCTCGCATGCAACTCTTAGTATCTTACAAATACATATACTTTTCTTTTCGATTTTTATCCTTAAAATCAACACTTGTAGCGTTCTACCTATGTATTATGTAAATTTTTTAGTCCGTCAATGAATTTTCAGAAGGATTTTCTGGAAGGTCAGAAAGGGATGTCAAAGAGGCTTTCCGAGCTCTCGAAGCTGCTGCCACAAATATGGGCCTTTCTATTAACGAAGGTAAGGCAAAATTTGTGGAATTTTGGTCCTCAACTGTAAATTACAGTATCCTTTATATATTAATGGTTATACATTTGAAAGGGTTAACGAATTCAAATACCTTGGCACTGATGTTAACGATCCAAACATACTTAAAGCAGAAATCGACAATAGAATCAAAATGGCTAATAAGTTTTTCTTTGGATCGAGGACAGCTAAGATATAATCTTCTCAGCCAAAAAATAAAGTTAAAACTCTATAAGACACTCATACTTCCTGTGCTACTTTTTGGAAATGAAACTTAGACCCTAAACTCAGATATACAGCAGACACTAGATACCTTTGAAAGAAAAATCCTGAGAGCCATCTTTGGCGCAATTCAAGAAAGGGCAATAACTTTGAGCTCTACCGACTCTATAAGCAGCCCCATCGATAGAGAAGTTAAGAAAATAGCGCCATGAGAATCGTCACCTATAGAATCCTGAGGGATCATGCCCCAGAGGCAGACCCCCTACTAGATGGCTCAAGGACATCGAAAATAATTTGAAAACCCTAAAGATAAGAAGTTGGAAGGGAGTTGCTTTGGATAGGAGGCGCTGGCATTTGTCAGCTGTTGAGGTAGTCAAAGCTCACAAGGGGCTGTTGCGCTGACGAAGAAGAAAAAATGGATTTTTATTAGGCAAAATAGTTCAAAACTCATGATTCCTCCACTCATAGTGATTTGAAATGTCTGCAAAAGAAATTTCATTTAAATTGAGCTACAGTACGTAAAAAGAAACTGAATGAGCAAATTGGACAGATGTTAAGATAACATTTTCATTCCTTCATTTAAATTTACGAAGGTAATTTATTTTCTAAAAATGTATTTAAGAAAGTTTTAATGTCCTTTAATGGGATGGTTTAAGAATAGACACTGCTATTTCATTCTATTTGTGGGTATAAACAACATTATTTTCTCATTCCCTAACTAATATCATTCCTTTACAAAGAAAAAAATAACACTTGTGAGGGATTGATTTTATGTCTCTAATGACTAGTTAAGAAAGATATTTTTGTTCTTTTTTAATACTTTTTAAAACAAAGGGCTGTCATATAATTAAATACATTCATTAAAATTATTTTTTAAAACTTATCATAAACAAAAATTATCATTCCTACATTTTAATAAAAATAATATTTTTTAAATATTAAAGAGTGACAGCCATGTTTTTTCTTGTTTTTGAACCTTCTGTCATATCTTACTACAAAAAAATTAGAAATTTTAGACACAATTTTTTTTAGCTATCACTACCTGAAAATAGTAAAATAGCTTATTTGTAGTGAATGACCCAAAAATCATTGATGTATACCAAGTTATTAAACAAAATTTCTAAAAGGAGTTATTATGCATCTTAAGACAGTTTTCTTAATTTATTCAGTAACTAAATCTATTATAATTAGCTCAATATATTACAAAAAATAATTTATAATTAACAATTTATCTCTGTACAGCATTGAAACAGATAGTTTAATCTACAATACTCAGTATTTAATTGACATTGAAATGCTAGGTTGACTTATTCATAAAAATTATCCACACCAGTGGTCAGAAAACTACATTAATTTATTAGTTTACTACAACTACTTTTTTTTCTTAATGCAGTGACTACTTTGGAATTGTATTTCATTGCTTTAAGGAGACGAACTTACATTAAAGGAGTAATAATTAAAAAATATTTATTGCTGTATACATGAGCCAGTTTGCCCAAAATTTTTTCGTTCATTTAACCTTCAAGTTTTTGTCTTTTTCGACAGTGGATATTTATTTTAAGAAATGCAAAATTATCAAATACTTCCAGATTTTTTAGTTGTTTAATGCTCTTTTATTTCCTCTCAGAAAGTAGGTACACCGAAAATGCGTTCCTTTCCTTTGAAATAACATCAACATAGCTGCATACTATACTGGATTTTGTCCATTTTAGAAAATTTCCTAAAATTGAGTAAATTTTCTTAAAAATTCCTTATTGAAATAAAATTTTTGTGCAGATTATTGCTTGCTTGAATATTTAAAGAAGTGTTACTAATCCATAATGAAGCGAGCCTCATTTATAAAAATCAGTCCTTGATGAATTAAATGGCTATTACTGTTCAAAAATACGAGTAAACATAATATAGTTTGTCTACGCAAAGAACCCACAACCCTACTTGAAATAGTTATACCTCATTACCATAGTAACCGCCACCAGTCCAGACGAATGGCTAGAGGAGTTCTAACTTTAGAGAAACTATACCCAGGGTTCATGCTCTACTATAAAAATAAAATTCAAGTACTTTTCAAGGACTTTTTAAGACTTATTATAAAATTCTNTAGTCATAACTTAAAAATATTGCAGTTTTTCTATTTTGATGACTATAAAAATCTCTAAAATTTTCTGTATGTAAAATATACTTAGCAACAATTATCATGAAATTTCTATTGTTTCATAAAATCTACTGGATTTTTTCCTATCCATGTTGGCAGCCATGCATCAATATTTAATGAGTGAGTATTTGTATGTGAAAGTGTGACATTAATTATCCATTTTTCACAATGGCTAGTTTAAATACTTATACATGATTTTCAATTACTTAATTTCTGTTAAAGCTCAGCTTCAGGGTCATTATCATTGCATACATTGATGGACGAAAAAATTAGTTACGTTAGAACCAGGTTTCTTTTCTAAAGTAACGTTAAAAGTAGTTGCCAAGAAACTATTGCTTTATTTTATCGCACTATTCACTACACTACTTTTGTAACAAAGTAGCACACTACAACACAAACTACGAAAAATAGCAGCAACTACTTACAGTGCGATACTTCTGGTTTGAAATTTTCTAAGAAGACTAATACTAGAGGAGTTGGCAGAAACTGTTAGTTTTATGATGATATTATTTCTTAATAAAAGTATGAGAAATGAACTCACAGGTGAAGAGTTTTGAGCTATTGCTTTAACACGAGATACTAAGTCTTGCGGCAAGTGACGAACCTCAACCACTTCATTAACTAGTCCAATATCCCTGGCTTGCTCGGCTGTTATGACTTGACCTCTTAAAATCAAATCCATTGCCTAAATTAGAAAACAAGCACACAAAATCAGCATTTTATACAGGTAAAAATCACAATTTCGATATGAATGGGTCAGAATTTGCAAAGTTTAGGACAGAATGGGTTAATCCATGGTTTAAACCAGGGTTTAATCTGTCTTGTCCAAAACTGTTTAAAACCCTTTTACTCCAATTATGACATATTAAAAAATATTGTGAAAAATTAAATGTTAATTTTAGAGCAAGAAACAAAATGAAGACAATTTTTTGTTTTATTAAAAAAGTTGATTATTATTTTAAATATTGCATTACTTATCCTTATGGGAAAACATAATTTATCAGTATTAAAAGCATATTTATTCATACTTAAAGGATTAGGTATTCACTTTTGTTGTTCAATGAGTTGTGAAGATTCACAAATTATAAATCTTTTCCTATTATATCATTCTAATTTAACAAGTTAAAGTAAATTGTGTAAAAAGTATCAAATATTTATTAATATGTGTAATTATTATGTGTATAATGATTACACAGATAGAAATTTTTATCTTTTACCAAAGTTCTAGGTTTTGGACAGTTCAAGACAGTAAAACCCATGTGTCCTGTCCAAAACAAGTTTAGGATGTCCAAAACCTCAACCCTGATTTTTAAGTCAAGATTAATTTGCAGATAAACAAAATTTTTATGTATAAAACTCTTATTAGACATATTTTGGCCAAGGGCTCTCGGACAAGGACAAGATCTGATCAGTAGTACTTAAATATTTTTGAATGAAAAATTTTTGCCTAATACACTATCAAAGGTTTATTTATTTCACAAAAAAGATTTTAAAGGAAGGGAACAGAAAAAGAGTTCCTAGATATTCAAAATTCGCAACAAGTTTTTTCCCTTAAAAGATTTTAATTGACAGCGACTTTGATAACCAACTTGGCAGACATTAGTTAGTTTTCCGTATACCTATGTTGTTAATTGATTCATCAAAGTAAATTATTGTTAGATTACCTTCGAAATACCAATATAACCTGGGCATCGTCGTGGGAAACTTCAGCAGAGGGCATTCAAGAAAAGTTACCAGTAATACTTTTTTCCCTTAAATAGACGCTCAGTAATTTTTCATGATTAACGGCTACGGAGTTGAACATTAGTAGTCGTAAACCCATAAAATTGGGTCTGTTGTTCAACGAGGGTTATAAAATATAAAAATAAAATAACAAATAGGTCTACTCCATTTTTATATTTGTTGTAAAAAATAACACAGAATGGTACTTCAAGACCCTTTCACATGGTGCAGTACACTTTTGTATCTCAGGGGTGATTGTGAGCCCAACTCAAAAATTTGGAAAATTTCTGGAGTAAAATCATTAACGACACATTTCAAGAAATTAATGTCTTTATAAATTTAAATCCTTGATATTTTCCCAACATAATTCAAATGAATAATTATGTAGAAGTTTCTACCAGAAAAAATATTTACAGATGAAAGAGATGCCAAGTATAAAAATTCTCACAACAAGAACTCTTTGACGCAAGAATGTCGCTGTGATTCCCTAGAAAACTTTACAACATCTTGGAAAAAGTAAACAAACTAGCAAACCACAGCTTGACATAATAAACAATAATGTAATCACTAGCAATGGTATTACAACATCTGAGGTATTTATACAAAATACGGTAGGACCATTAAAAAAATTAGGCACTGTCGTTAAAAAATAAACTTGTAATCCGGGCATTCTACATATCATTAAAATGGAGAAACATTGACAAGTTTAGTTGTAAGTGTTCTCATTAATTATTACTTAATGAGTTATACAGAAGGTATGAATCTGGAATCTTAGCATATTTGAAGTTTACCTTCTAAATGAGCAAACTAATTTTGATAAGTATAAATTCAATGTTTAGTTCAAAAGCAATATAGAGTGATTATTTTTTATTTCCCTTCTTTTTTTGTAATTTTTGTATAAATGAGTATAAAATAAAGAACAAGCAAATATTGTTACTCATACCAGCCAACATTAGAGAAATAAAATAACGGAGATTTTACTAGCAGCATTTTTTAAGCTACAAGTAAAGTTTTTATCACGCATAATCATGTAAATCAAATTCAAAGTTGGAAATAATATCAGCACTTACAGCTAGCGAAGTAAAAAATATTTATTTAAATCTTAATCTCTAATTAAGATTTTTAAAGTCATTATTTATAATTGTTAAAATATAAACACTCAACATACTGCAGTATTGGCAATAGCACCATCCGTTGAGGAATAAGAGAAGTATTTTTGCCATCATCAATTATTTTATCAGAAAAAAAAATTTTTTTTTAAAATTTCTTCAAAAGACACAGAGAAATTTGAGAATGTACAGGTGAATAGGAGACAGTCCTAAAATACAGGAGACTTGGCAGCAGGGTTGGCAAGGTTTAGGACAGAGTGGATTAATCCACTGTTTAAACTCTGGTTTAAACTGTCCTGTCCAAAACCCCTTTGTCCAAAACCCTTTTACTCAAATTATGTCACAATTTTATCTGAACAATATTTAAGAGGTAAAATAAACATAGAACTAATAACATATTAATAATTAAATATACTAGAGGATATTTGTTTTTAAAAGTATAATGTTTTATTAATATTGTTTGACTCTTCAATTTAAACAAAGAAAGATTAATCAGTAATCAAGTTCAATCGGTTCTCTCATTCAATAAAACATAACTGAAGTTTGGCCTTGCCATACAGGTTAAAATATTAGGGACTAAGTGCTTGGTTCGTCATAAACAGGTTTATTTATCTACAGTACTATTCAAGAATGCTTTTATTTTATTCATGTTCAATTCTTTTAGCATAGTGGTGATACATCACCAGTGTCAGTAACTGAAACTGATGTTATGACCTTCAAAACTGTTCGCACATTTTTCAGTTATTTTGAATTTTCAATTTAAACTAATATATTTATATTTAAAAACAATTTTTTTTTAAAAATAGATGTCTTTTTTTTATCATCCTGTGATGCAGAAATTATAACATTTTTTTAAAAAAATATTGTGAAAAATAAAAGGTTGATTTTTGAACAAATTTAGTTTTTTTTTTTTTTTTTTTTTTTTTTTTTTTTTTTTTTTTTAAGAAAAATTATTATTTTTTAATATTGCCATATTTTATTGGCTCAGATTTGAAAGCAACATAAAGAAACTCACTATAGTCGTTCCAACAGCTTGTGGGAGGGTAAGTGTAGCACCCCCTTCTGGCATGTATCCAAGTCTTGAATATGGCATGCAAAAAGATGCATTGCTTGTGGCCAGTGTAACATCTGCATGGTTTAAAATCGTTAATCCAAGGCCATATGCAGCACCATTCACAATGGCAAATAAAGGCTTTTGGAAGTCTGCCAATGTACTAATCAAATCCCTGTAAATACATATAACTTTGAAAAACAAAATTTTATAACAGCATATTTTAAAAATTTTGAACTAACTAAAAAATATAAAATAAATTAAAAAAAAAATAATATAAAGAACAAAAATTATAAATATAGAAAGAACAATGCAGAATCCAGTATGTTCATGAAAGTAAAGGACCATGTAGAACAATCAAGTTGCTAGTTTGAGTAGATAGAGGACCATATACAATGACAAAACAGTTAGTTCTTATTAGTGAACCAACTGGAAATTGTCAGTGGTTAATTACTGGGATCTGTCTAGGTTTTTTTAAGAGGTACCTTTTTTGTGCAATTAGACACAATTATTTGAGAAAATTAAAAATTATATTAACACGTTCGCTGCCACCGACGACGCGCTAGCGCATCGCTGCCCCATGTGGCAGAATTTTTTTGGGCTTTTTTGCGACAAACCTCTCTAGCACCAATATCTTTCTGCAATATACTTTTAACAATAACTAATATATATGTTATTAACTAAATTTAAAGTAACAGAAACCTTGTATTTACAAAATAAGTCTATTTGGATAGAATAAAATTGTATGTATTTTTTTAAAAAAATGAATATGCAATATTTTTATCATGGGCGATATTCTCACAATTTGTAAGAGGAAAACACACTAATTATTTCTTTTTTCATAAATCATCATCACATAAAAAAATAATAATTAGAAATTGTAATATCAGTGAAAAAAAGTGGAATAAAAAATATCAGCAGCACTCTGATGAGTGAAAAGGGTATCATGAATAGTATAAATGTGGAGGAAAAAATTTTTTTCTTAAGAAAAGAAATTTTTTGCTTCAATATTCTTTATTTTTCATTCTTCTCAAATGAGAACATTTTTACCCCTTCGATGCACGAATAAGGCATCTTTTAAATATAATGGACAATTACACCCACTCTTAATTTTTTTAAACTTTTAATCCCAACTTATTGGAACCTTTCTCCTGAAATCAAAAATCTGGTCGTTTTTTTCATCAAATGTTTATTTATTTAGTTATTAAACATTTAATTTGCCCAAAAAGGCCTCCGTAGGTGATGCAATAAAAAACGATCCCTGACTGGTTATGATGTCACATGTGCTGAATGGAAACGTGCCTCCTCCATCTGCTAAGGCTATTTCAATGCTCTTTTAGTTTTGATATCACTTATATCGTATGAACATCCTTTGTAAATTATTAGTACAAATTTTGCGAATTAAATTTACAGTTTGGATAGCCTGTCCAAAATAAAAGAAAGATTTTAAAACTTCAAACTGTTTATTTATCACTAAAACAACTGTAGAAATGAATATGCTCTTCGGGGCTAATCAATATTTCTTTTCGGCTGAAATCAGTGTTGCTAAAGGTCATATAAAATATCATTCATTCCCCTTAATTCTAAGTTAAAATAATGATCTATTACAGCCTAATTACTTAAAATCAGTCGCAGATGTGATAGAAATATTATAAATTTAGATATAGGATGAATGATTTTATAATTGGGTACTGCATTAGGATTGATTTTATTTTATAATTGGGTACTGAATGATTTTATAATTGGGTACTGAAAATCAGTGTTTTCACAAATCATAATCATTGAGAAATATGAATCCATCATCGTGCTAATGTTCCATAATTCAAATAATATATTTTCATTTTGTTTCTTTTATTCTTACTAGAGTAGAAGGATTTTCTTTTTATGTAAATATTTACTAATACAGTTTATGTCAGTATGCAGTTTACTGTGTATTAAATATTTAAAAACATATCAATGCTTATATTTATTATTTTTTAAGTAAACAGGAATTTTGCTACAGTTAAAAATTATTTTTATTTTTAAGTTTATAAATTTTAATTCCTGTTTCTGCAATATAGTATTTATAAAGTATGGTTATTTTTAATTTCCCTCCTTATTTTTGCTAACTGTTTGTCAATGCTTGCAATGAAGAATTCTAAAATAGTAATATGAATACATTATACATTTATAAGTAAAATAATTTAATTAAAATAGTTGAAAAAGTCTCAGGTTAAGCATTTGGTACTGCTAATCAACACTTTCAAGAATCTAGTCAATAGAAATATATCTGTCCATCATCATTGCCATAATCTACTTATACTTAAAATTTCACTTAATGTTATTTAATTTACCCACATAATTTCAGCGAATATCAGTTAGCTAGACGTTTCTGTTTCTTTAAAGCTAAAGAATAATAATAAAAAACAAGTTTATACAAAATGAAAAGAAATTCGAATACACATTCTTTATTATTTATTAAATAATTTTTAAAAAATTGACAGCAATGTTGATATTTTTATCCTTTGAGTAAATAGGAACTTTGATATGACAAAAAGTTATTTTTATATGCATTTATAAAATTTAATTCCCGTTTCTCCAATGTGGAACAAAATAAATGCATATGCTTGATTTCAAATACTCTTATAACACTAATTAAAGTAATTGCAATAAAGTTAATAAAATTTACTGGAATATATATATATATATATATATATATATACAGTGGTGGCCAAAAGTGTGGACACATTTTGAAAGTTTCATGTTTTTCAACTNTATATACTTTAACATTTACTTTTTTCAAAGAATGAATTTAAAGTTTTGCCGGGATCACAAGTTTGTTTTAAAAAACTACTGCTATGCTAAAGACAATTTCCTGCTTTGATTTTACGCTGGAATAAATAAATAAAAAACCTTAATAACTTAAGCTTTACTAAATTTAAAAATTTAAAACAATTCTATATAAAAAATGGATTCTACATTTCTTTTATTTAACATAATAATAATTCTCTACAATGAATTAACATTCTGCAACAATGTCGCCGTGATTCTGCCATGCATTTCATTTTTAAAAAAATCACGGGGAAGAGAAGTGTTCTTACAAACAGGGTGTGAAATTAATTCTTCTATTAAGTCATAATAACAATCTGTGAAAGGGTTTAATAACAAGTATAAATACGTAATTAACCCGGGATTTTAAAATATTATGGGTCAATATCGGGCTTTACGTTAACATCGAAAAATGACTTCGCGCTTCCTAATTTTAAGAATTTTAGAAGGAGATTTTCCTTATTTTAAGCTCTTCCAAACACTTATTTTAGAGGCGCATACATGGTAAAATACAGGGCCTCATTGTGTACCCCGTTTTTTACGGGGGATAAGAAAATTTTATTTTTGCAGGGTCAAGGGGGAAAAATCTTAAAACTTGCTTTTTTAAAAGTGCTTTGTCAAACTACCATTTTCCCTAAAGTTTAATTCAGGGTTGCACACAAATCTGGAAAAAAATTTGTGTTTTCCCTGTACATATTATACACAATACATTAATAGGGAAAACACAATTACTGTGCTCTTGTGTGAGCTATACTGGGCTCATATATATACAATAGGACCTCGAAATTCCAGACTCCTGAAATTGGGAAATCTCTAAAACCCCGGACTCTTATGCTGAGTTCGTCAGAAAAAAAAAATTCTTTTAAAATAAAAATTTAAATGTAATAGAGCAAAACCACAACTCTACTCTAACAATGAAGCAGTAGTTGATGAGGTAGGGGTCGGGAATGAATGAAAGTTCATAGCTGATAAGGAAATTCCAGTCATTCTTATCAGCTCTTTATAGATAACAAAGAATGCAGAGGGGATTCCCCTTCCATAGATAAGGCCTGCAGGAGGAGGAATTCTTATACCACCTTGTGAAGAAAGAAAACTGGTTCTTTCTTAACCTTTGGGAAAGTTCTTTCATCCCCCAACAAAAAAGGGATTAGTATCAGCTCTTACAGTCTAGTCTAGAAGCCTCTGTTTCAGTCTTAAGTTGAAATTCAGCTCGCGTTTTAAGCCTATATTTTTAGTTTTAATTGCTAATATTATGTTATATAAAAGATCGATTACGGGAGAAAATGACAAAAGTTTGATTTTTAATGTCTCTTATTTATTATTTAAAATGTATATTTATGTTAAGTTGTTAAAATTGACGTCGAAAGTCTACCCACGCACGTTTAATCGTGAAATCAGCCTGGCGAATTCGAAATTTCGATAATTCTATCAATTTAAGTACGGTATCTAAAATCCGAACTTTCCAAATTCCCAGCAGTCTGGATTTTCGAGGTTACACTGTATATATAATGATGATGTGAGCTATATATATACATATATTATTATGCAAGTTACAATTTCTGGAAAAGTTAGAGAAAAAAAGGAAAAGCTGAACATACTTAAATAATGCCAGAAGTATATGAAATAGTTTAGTATAGCTGAAATATCATCCTTACATATCTCATAGATTACGCTTTAAGTGGTCATCATTTTCCCTGTTCATGCAACAAAAAAAAAAAAAAATCAAAACTCCCTGCATTTCCCCTGTTATTTTAGATGATTTTTAAATTCCCTGTATTTTCCAGGTTTTCACTGTGGAGTGGCAGTCCTGTGAAATTATTTGTGATAGTACCACGAAAAAGAAGTAAATTTGTCCAGGACAGATCCCTGACAATGTAAAAAATCTTCAAAATGATCAACAATTCCATACTTTAGATTTCGCAGTAATCCATTAATCTATAGTTAAAGAACCATTATTTCATAGTTTAAGAATTTAAAAACTAAAGTATATTACAGAACAGCACTTACTTGACAGCATTGGCAATATCACCAACAACTTCCTTTTTATGATCTTCCACAAGAGGTCTTACGTCTAGCCCAAGGCAAAATGTTTGCCCAAATCCATTTAAAATTAATAGCCTACAATCTTTGTCATTACCAGCTTTATTTATGGCTTCCTTCAACTCAACTAAAGTCTGTAAGAAAATAAAAAAATTTCACTTAACTTTTCTTACTTCACTTAACATCTTTATATTATTATTATTAGGAATGTTCATAACTTTTAGGCAGAACTAAAATTGAGTAAGTTACTAAATATAGCTGGCAGCTATATTAGTAAGCTTACTTCACTTACTAATATAGCTGCACACAAGGATAGGAAAAATATTATAAATTTCATAATAATTGTTGCACAATGTACGTTATATTGTGGGGAATTTTAGGGATTTTTATAGTTATCAAAATAGAAAAACTGCAATATTTTCCAGTAATGATGGTCACTAAATGTACTTGAAATGTTATGCACTATGTTTATTCATAATTTTAAAAAGTAAAAGGCATTTAATTCATAAAAGATAGTTAAAAGAGCTTTTATAATTAATTTAAAATGGAGTTCTGAATAAAAATCAACTGAACATTTTAGAACAACAAAAAAAGCTTTAAATTGATTTCTATAAATGAAGCTTGCTTCATTATGTATTTGTAATACTTATTTAAATATTCAAACAAGCAAATAATCTATTTCAATATGAATTTTTGTAAGAAACTTACTCAATTTTAGGGAATTTTATAAAATGTACAAAAACCAGGAGTGGTAAAAACCAGTAGACTACTGGAAAATCCACTACAGTTGGTAGCTCTATATTTAGTTATATTTGAATTAAGCACTTTTTACTGAACAGAACAAATACACAAATACTTAATACTCTTAAAGAAGATCAGAGCCAAACAAAGGCAGGTAGGGGCATACGGGGCAGTTGCCCTGTGCCCCACATTAGAAGGGCAGGGCTTCAAGAGGCAATACATGGTTTTGGAGCAACAAAAATGCAATTTTGGAGCAGAAAAACAAAGATTTGGAGCATAGTTAATAAGTAGAATTAAAACAAGAATTTTTAATTTTGTTCATTAATAACATATCTTATTTTTTACACTTTTTTGAAGGTCTCTGAATTAACAAATTAAGTTTCTTTTTGGTACCTTCCAATGCTGTTAAATATTCTGCTATCCTCGACTTAGCCTCAGATAAGAAGATCTACCCGCTTTCCATAATAGACTTGTCTTTATTATTTTACCCATCTTTAATATTTTTTTCAGCTGCGGCTAAGAGATCCTGAGAAGCATTCAATTTTTTTTTGCAAATCAATTTCAGCAGCTTTTAATCTGCTTTCCTCGGTTTCAGTGTTTTTCGCTGTCTTTTTTCTCAACCTCTAATCGAGAAGAATATTTTTTTAATGCTGCACGAGCCACTTTAATCATATCTTTGTCAATTTTAAAGTTATTTAAACCTCTACTTTGTTGATATGTGACACAACTTCTCTCAAACCATTAACACTATACAAATTTAAACTTGCCTTATTGTCAAGTAGCTTTTTGTTCACACTTAAACCTCTTTCAATAACGGCATTCCCATGTGGTACACACAAAAGAGCTTTGTCATAAGAGGATATTTGATATTTCCCAAATTATCTTTCTTCACAAAATAGTTTTTCCAAAACACATCAATTGGTGCATATTCATTTGAGTAAGAAGAATAACCTTCTGGTTCCCCACATAACCTTGTCCCTTCATCTAGTAATAAAGATGCCTCTTCAGGTTTTATAATGGATGGGGTTACTGTTGCCAGATATCTTATTGACTTAATAGAAGTTTCTTCCATTCTCATTACAGGATGCAACACTTTAAGATGGTACAGTAACCTATTTTTAAGAAGCAATGCTTTTAATAAATATTTTTGCGCATGCCAAATAAAAAGAGGTGGCACCTAAATACATAATTTTTTTTCTGAAGAAGATAAGGATGTCATCGCTTTTGTGGTATCTAGTCCAGTGTTTTCACTACAGCGCGAGAACGCGAGAATCTCACATATTTTTTTATATTCTCGCATTAAAAAATGATTACCGCGAGAAATTCGCGCATTCTGTAAACAAATTTCAAAATTCGCGAATTTCTCGCATTTTGAAAAAATTTTCTCATTTGCGCCATTTAGAATAAAATCAGTTTCACTTTTCTTCCTGGATCTTTTATTATTTTCAACATCTGCCCCATTATCTAGCTTCCCTATTTACCAGTATTGTTCAGAACCTTTAAGAACAACAGAACACCATCCTTCAGAACCATGGAACCTCTTTCAGAACGCATTTCTCTGCAACCACGTGTTTACCGTAGGTAAGGTTTCTTCATGTAAGACGTTAAAAGTTTTTGCTCGTTAATGTAAGATGGACAAATACCTTGTAAAGCCAATATCTTCTACTCCGAAACGGACAAATGAAAATGAAACAAATGTGGGTAGAAGCGATCAAAACGAAACAAATACGCATTTGAGCAACCTAATGAGAATAGCTGATGAAAAAGTAGATGTAGAACATTTTCCATAGGATGATGCAGCAAAAATATTCAATGCTTTAAAAATTAGAAGATGTTAAAAATGCATCATAATTAAAGAAATTTTATTTTTTTTCAAGTCTCTTTACGTGTTTTTTTTTTTAATTTTTGAAATCTCACTTAACTTTTTGAAATCTCACCCTGTTTTTGAGAAAGGGTGAGAAATTCTCACCCATTTTTTTTCTGAGATGAAAACACTGATCTAGTCCAACATTCATTAAATTTGAATTTTGCCAAATTTCTGCGTTTTCTACATCCAATGATTTTAAGTCTTTTACCGACAAACATGAAAAGCAGAACTCTTTAAAAAATGCCCTAACAATGCACCATTTCATGATACAGCAAGTGAAGAAATGGTGTTTCAGTTTGGAAAAGACCTAAAAATTTATTTAATATTGCCGAAATATTTCTTTAAAAAAAAAGGAGCTTTTGGCAAAAGAAATTTAAATAAATTCAATACTGAGTGGCTCATACTATTTTTTAAATTAATAATGACTTTATTTAATTCTGTAAAAGGTAATTCAAAACTCTAATTAATTTAACTATTATTTAAGGTTATCGAGTGTAATTTTCTTAAAATTTAAATAAATGTTATTTGTAATAGTATATTCAACAAAAAAATTAACAAGATTAATATTGATAATACCAAATTTATAAAAATATGTAAAGAATTAAGTAAATTAAGAAAGCTAAGTGTAAATTAGTGAATGGCCCCTAATAAATTTTTAATAAAATGAACTTTTTTTAAAAAACAAAACATCAGTAGAGTGTAAAAAACAGTCAGTTTTAGGTTAGCTTCTTCATTAATTTATCGTATGAAGACAAAAAATCTATGTTTTGTAAATCCATTGCTTTCTAGTGCAGAATTCAGCCAAATTTTGGCAATTACGATGGACAAATTCAAATGGTGAAAAATTTAAATACTTCCATAAAGTTCAATTCTTCATTACAGAAGTAGTGAAGCAGAGGGGGGGGGGCAGAAAAGCTTTTGCCCCAGTCCCCAATTTGGCTAAGTCGGGCCCTGCAGTAATTCAGTTGGATGAAACATTCAATTACAAACAGACCAAAATATTCCTTAAAATGCTGTTTAGTTGAGATTGATTAGAACTTTCAATTGTCAAACCCTTGATACCTCAAAAGAAGAGTCAATTCCATTTTGATAAAATAGGAAAATCACATACCTACATGTTTCTTCACAGTGTAATAGTTATTCATAATATAATAATAGATCTTACTGTTGTTAACTTCCAGTATAGTGAAGCTTGACCACTAGTGATTTGGCTGAATAGCCTAAGACTGAATAATCGGCCCAATATCAATATTTTTTTTTAAATAATTAATATATATATATATTATAAATAAACAAATCTAGTACTATCACAAAATTAGTACAGTAGGGAACCGATTATCCAGAATGATCGGGACCATCGCTATTCCGGATAACTGTTTTTTTTCCGGTTTTCTGAATCGCTACAAAAATCCGTTTTTTTTTATTGTTAAACCAAACTAAAAAAAATATTTAGAAGTAATCTTAAAAAGAAGAAAAAACGATGAAGTAATACACTAATGATTATTTGCAAAATGATAGTAAGGTAAACATCTTTCAAAAAAGAACAAAAAATCCTGAAATCTTATGAGGGAAATTATTTTTTTTTAAATGGCGGGAAAATTTATTGAATATTGTTCCGGTTTTTTGGTTTTCTGATTTCCGTATAACGGGTTCGGTACTGTACTAATAAAATTTAAGCTGACAATTCTTTAAGTAATGAAATCAGAATAAAAATCACATTTTTTCTGAATACTAACTTTCACTCCCTTTTATATTTTTTAACAAATTAGCAAAGTAAATAGCTTTTAAGTATTGAAATTTTTTTATTTGACTGCTTCGAAACTAGTTGACTAATTCTGATTTCATTCTAAGGTTGTATTTTGGCCCATAAAATGACATAATTTAAAATGAAGTTAAAACTTTAATTGCCAATAATTAAAAAACTTTTTCAGCAAATACTCAATCGAATAATAAAAAATAAGAAGTATAATTGATAGCAATCTGTTGCAGAGAATAGTCTTCAAATAAATGAGTAGCAAACTTTTTTTTGAAAAATTTTTTCAAAAATTTAAGGACCATAAAATAGTATGATTGTTTATCATCAAATATACCACCGGTGACAGTTCTTAAAAACATCAACAAATAAAAAACAATTTTATTATGACACATGTACTGATATAATTGCATTAATTAACATGGTTCGCCAAAGTAGGATCAGGTAATTTCTGCAAACCCGGGTTGTGTTTTCCTAAAAAAACTATTTTCAGATTGTTAAATGTTAACAACATCTGTGAAACTAAACCATATTCCATTCTTAATCATTTCATTTCATTGAATTGTAAAATTAAGGGCAGAAATCAAGATTCACAATTTTTTTTTCATACATTTAAAAAAGAGCAAATAAAGAAATTTGAGAAAAACATTTAAATAATTATTAACACAAGTTTCTATATTTCGCTGTTAGGCACGCATCACATATTCAGTAGTGGGCCAATCACGCTAAATATTAAGCAATGCCAAAAAGTTTGTCTTTCCAAAATGTTCTACCCTCAATGCATGGTCTCATTCTAGGTGATAAAAGAATGACTTTTTTTTTAAAAAAATAAGTATTTTTGAAAGACTGAAAANTTTTGTTAAAATAGGAAAATCACATACCTACATGTTTCTTCACAGTGTAATAGTTATTCTTAAAATAATAATAGATCTTACTGTTGTTAATTTCCAGTATATTGAAGCTTGACCACTAGTGATTTGGTTGAATAGCCTAAGACCGAATAATCGGCCCAATATCAATATTTTTCTTTTAAATAATTAATAAATATATTTTATAAATAAACAAATCTAGTACTATCACAAAATTAGTACTAATAAAATTTAAGCTGACAATTCTTTAAGTAATGAAATCAGAATAAAAAATCACATTTTTTCTGAATATTAACTTTCACTCCCTTTTATATTTTTTTAACAAATTAGACCAAGTAAATAGCTTTTAAGTATTGAATTTTTTTTATTTGATTGCTTTGAAACTATTTGACTAATTCTGATTTCATCGTAAGTTTGTATTTTGGCCTATAAAATGACATAATTTAAAATGAAGTTAAAATTTGAGTAGCCAATAATTAAAAAACTTTTTCAGCAAATACTCAATCAAATAATAAAAAATAAGAAGTATAATTGATAGCAATTTGTTGCAGAGAGTAGTCTACAGATAAATGAGTAGCAAACTTTTTTTTGAAAATTTTTTTCAAAAATTTAAGGACCTTAAAATAGTATGATTGTTTATCATCAAATATACCACCAGTGACAGTTCTTAAAAACATCAACAAATAAAAAACAATTTTATTATAACACATGTACTGATATAATTGCATTAGTTAACATGGTTCGCCAAAGTAGGATCAGGTAATTTCTGCAAACCCGGGTTGTGTTTTCTTAAAAAAACTATTTTCAGATTGTTAAATGTTAACAACATCTGTGAAACTAAACCATATTCCATTCTTAATCATTTCATTTCATTGAATTGTAAAATTAAGGGCAGAAATCAAGATTCACAATTTTTTTTTCATACATTTAAAAAAGAGCAAATAAAGAAATTTGAGAAAAACATTGAAATAATTATTAACACAAGTTTCTATATTTCGCTGTTAGGCACGCATCACATATTCAGTAGTGGGCCAATCACGCTAAATATTAAGCAATGCCAAAAAGTTTGTCTTTCCAAAATGTTCTACCCTCAATGCATGGTCTCATTCTAGGTGATAAAAGAATGACTTTTTTTTTAAAAAAATAAGTATTTTTGAAAGACTGAAAAAAATTTTCCTATCAAGTAATAGTGATGCAGAAAAATTAAGGACTTTTAAAAACATTGTACCAAAATTAAGTACAGGGTATCAGCTATACTTTAGATTTTCAAATTCATGACTAATTCCAAGAACTTTTCATGACTTAATGAAGCTACTATTTTCTCCGACAAAAACAGAATAATAAATTTAAAAAGTTTTATAATAACATTAATTAAAATGATAGGTATAACCAAAACTGTTATATTCTGCATCTTCATATTTACTGATTTTAAATTTAAAAAAAAATGGAATAAAGAAAGAGTTGAAGCAATAAAATAGCTGAAAAAATAATAGCTGAGCAAATTTTTTTTCTTCAGCAAAATTATATTCCAAAGTTACTTCTCGTTCATCATAAAGGAAAGAAATACTCCTGATTTTTCTGTTTTCATTTCGGAATAAAAAAAATTTGCCAATGACTGGCTTGCTCCAACTAGAATTTTAAATTAATAAAATAAAAAATTATAATAATTCTGAAATCACAGAAGTTTAAAAGATACTTCGCTCCAGAAATTATGTTTTTCCTTTCCTTTCTTGAAAGAACACCATAATATTTAAAGAACATGATAAAAACTTTTTATATTTTAATAAAATATGATTGTGAGTGGGGATTTTGTCACAAATTCAGATATTCGGAACACCATGAAGTTGGGGGGGGGATTCCATTTTAAAAATAAAAAAAAATTTCAACGACCTAAATCCATGATTTTTTTTAAAAAAATAGTTAAAATCATGAAAAATTTTGTTAAATACCGAAATTCAGTTTCCAGGTGCACGGATACCAAGTACTTTTAAGGACCCTTATTTTCCAAAATAAAAATTAAGCAGTTTTTAAGGACTTATAAGGATCATGAGAACACAACCCTGTATTAGAGTATTTTTTTCTTCTTTTAAAAACACTTTTTATGCATGAATGAGATATTACAAGAACCAATTAAATAGTATCAATGCTGTAAATAATAATAATAATATTACCTCATGAGTGAGGAATATAGATTTCCCTCTGGTGATTTTCAAAACAATCTGGATGTAATCATTATCACGGGTAACATTTATGGTTTGAAAATGACAGGTGAACACTCGGGGAGGAACTTTTACTTTTTCCTCAGCACGTCCTTCCTTTTCTAAAATAATAAACATTTTTTTTTATTAAAAAAAAACTCTGCATAACATGTCATAGAATAAAATTACTAAAGTTAGAGAAAAATACTGAGTTGTCAATGTTTAGGACAGAATGGTCAATTCTGTCCTAATTATTCAAATTATGTCACAATTAAAAATAAGTATTGTGGAAAATAAAGTTACTTTTTGCACAGGAAAAATGAAGCTAAAGTTATTGTTTTATTAAAAAAAAAGTTGATTATTATTTTTAATACTGTACTATTTATCTTTATGCAAAAACATTATTTAACAGCATTAAAATCATATTTAGTCATATTTAAAGGTATTCACTTTTGTTGTTCATTGAATTGTGGAGATTCACAAATTATAAATCTTTTCCTATTATATCATTCTAATTTAACAAGTTAAAGCAAATTGTGTAAAAAGTATCAAATATTTATTAATCTATACAATTATTATGTGGACAATTGTTACGCATATAGAATTAAATTACCTTTCACCAATGTTCAAGGTTTTGGACACTTTAAGACAGTTTAGGACAGTAAAATCCATGTGTCCTGTCCAAAATAAGTTTAGGAAGTCCAAAATCCCAACACTGGAAAAATATTGTGGTGCCTCAATATAATGTGCTTTATTCTATCCCACATTTAAGAACTTTTTTAAATCTTAAAAATGTCTTACAATAGAGGATTCCTAAACCTTTCTAAGACGAGCCCCCCCCCCCGCACAACAAGATATAAAAAATTGTCATAATAAATTTTATAATATTAGGACAGATGCAAAATTTATGGAAGCCTATAGTAACTTTAATGTACTACATTTTTTAAACCCCTTTAGTAGTATAACTGTTATTAACCAATCAGTATTGCACCGCTTTTAGAAAAAGAACTAAAAGTGTTCTCTCTTCCAAAGAAGGAACTAACGTCTTCTTTTTTCAAAAGGGCTATTTTTACACAACGACAACTTTATGTTCATGCTAACAGTATTCTTAAAAAGCACATGCAATATTATTACAGGGTAGGGACAGGGCCGTCTTAATAGCAAGCAGGACCCCCGGGCACAGAAATGTTTTGGGCCCCTCTTACATTTCATACTGTTTAAAATAGAACTAAAAAACTTCACATGCATAAAATTAAGCACTTTAAAGATATGCAATAATTTTAACAAAGTTAAACACATTTTTACAGCCCGAAAACTCAATGCACATAAAATAAGGCATTTTTAAACTAGGCATACTTTTTCTTAAAAAAATGAGATGCTAACAAATTGCAATCCTCAAATAGTAAGTAATTTTCAAAACCAAGAAGCTAATTAAAATAAGTAAATTAAAAAGCATAGGGGTATAAAATTCTTCTTTGTATTTTATTTTGTAACCGTCACTGAACAGCCGACCCAATTTTTGGGTTTACGACTACCAATGTTCAATTCCGCGGCCTTACAATTTTGAACCAATCCAGAAGACAAGGAAACTCCTGGATCAGTACCCCCAGAGGTAGGACTTGTTATGGGAACTTTCATGGAGGACTTTGTGACTCAACAGATTTAACGTGCACCAGTCACCATTTACTACAAGGGGAGTTTTCGGCCGGCGGAGATCGAACCCACGACCTCTTATACATGGGCCCAGTGCCCTACCAACCAGGCTATCCCGGTTAAGGGTTAAACAATTTTTTCATTTTTTATTGTAACCGTCATTGAACAGCTGACCAAATTTTTGGGTTTACGACTTCTAATGTTCAACTCTGTAGCCTTTTACTTTTGAACTCAATATAATAAACAAAGGAGCTCTTGTATCAAGTATTGGGGGAATTTTGCATTCATGGAGTACTTTTTCAGTGGAACTAACCCGCATTTACCTTACATGGAGATGAAGACCACGTGAGCCTCCCATGGTTAGTCTGACGGCAAAAGGACTCTAACCCATGATCCGTCTGTCACTGAGGATATTTCAAGTCAGCACTGTGGTCTGTGCAAGCCGGATGCAGATTCGTATCGACCAGCCATCATTGAATTCGAACCCGGTCCAATTCATTGGAAGACGTACGCTCTATCCCCTGAGGCATCGCGACTAGGGTATAGCAATTAAAAAAATTCAGACCAGTTTAAAAGTTGCTGTCGTATGATTCGAAACACTTTAAATTACTTTAATTAACTATAAATACTAAACAGAGTTGGTTGTCAAGCATATTTAGTTGTTGTTGTAGTTCATTTATGTCACACTGGAGCTGCAGAATGGGCTATTGGCGACGGTCTGGGAAACATCCCTGAGGATGATCCGAAGACATGCCATCACAATTTTGATCCTCTGATGAGGGGATGGCACCTCCGCTTCAGTAGCCCAATGACCTGCGCGCGAAGTCGAGCACTTTATGGTCGAACAGTTTAACGAAGATACCGCACATCCTCGCACAGCCCATACCGCACATCCTCGGTCCCTATGCAGACTGATCCTAATGGTTACCCATTCTCACACTGACCGTAGCCAGTGATGCTTGACTTCGGTAATCTCAAGCATATTCAGAGACATTATCACTTAGGGAGTTCAGCACCTAAAAACTTCATTTTAACGAAGAAAAATAGATTTCGGCTGACTTTTTATTTTTCCTAGTGATAAACTATTCAAACTATTGGTGTTTGCATGGTAATCGATCACTGTTCTTAGAAAAAAAATTCACACTTTTTACTCTAGTATATATCCCAGAAAGCATGCAACCTTACAGCTATTTTCTGTTAGAATTTTCTTCTTATTGTCGAACGAAAGTGTTTGTACTAAAAACCTTTTTTTAATAAGCCAAAAATATTGCAGTTTTTAAACCTTTCATCCTAAAAGGATTACAAATTATTTTTTAAGATTTTTTTTAAAAATAAGTGTTGTCACTTAGGTCTATAATGGGTCTCACCCATTTTTTTTCTATGATGAAAACACTGATAGAACCATGTGAAAAGCACGGCTTTGCATTATACGTGGTGAAAAATGACATGGCAAAGAAAAAAAATCTCATTTTCAAAAAGGCAAAATTAAGCACTAATGGAAAAAAAGAACCTTTAAAGGCTTTTAAAATTTAAAAATGATACGCAACTTACAGCAATTTTTGACAACAAAAAAAATTATATAACTTTAATACAATCATACAAACTTACTCTTAGCTGCCAACAGGATTTTTGAATAACCAGGAATATCAGCATAATTTTCTGAATAATGATTTTTGAAGATGTTGTTGGGCTTCTTTGTTTGTCTATTATTATTTAAGCACAGTTTTTTATCCGTTTTAGATGAATTCTTTATTTGGTTTAGGGTTATATTTTCTCTTGATGTCGAAAAGGAAAGTTTTTGATTGAAACTTTGTATCACAGTTGCGCAGTTTGGGTTTACAACAGTGGCTGTAGATTCACTAGATGATATGCACTTTTTATTCACAGAGTGAGTTTCAGTTATTCGTGAAGGGGATGAACAAGAAAAAATAGGCGACCCTACGGAGAGAGGCATTTGTGCACAGTTGATGGCCAATGAACCGTCGTGCGTTAACATATTTTCCATATTGCAGACACTACTAGAAATGGGTGAGGCTTTAAGGCTATTGGCAGAACTCTTTAACTGCTTATTGCACATTTTAGGAATTTTCCATCGCATTTTAGCTTTTGAGTTGATTATTTTCATGTACTTTCTTAAAATACGTCTTCCCAAAAAGATGATGTATGATTCAGATTTAAGGCTACTTTTTACGGATTTACACAATTTTTCAGATTTCGTTGAAAAGTTTTTTGTTCTATGAATTAGTAAGTTTGCTCGATCACCCGAAGAATCCTTTGCATTCTCATCGATATCTTTCCTTTTAATATTTTCAGTGATGCATATTTCAGATTTAATATTTACATAGCACACATTATTTGGTATACATTGTTCTAAAACAGGAGGCTTGCTGATAGCATTCTTCGTTTCATCAGCGGGGACTAATTGTAGATCGGCTTCCGAATCATCGTCGACTTTATCGATATCGCAGAAGCTCTGAATGTCATTACTCTTTTCGACTCCAACCTCGAGAGTTTCAAAATTGTCATCAAGAGTTAAGATTTTTTCAAGGTTTCCATTATCGTCGGAATAGTTCCTTTTACAGTCTTCAAGCAAAGATGATGACAGGGAATAATCTTCGTCACAAATGAAATGGGAATTCACGGGAGGGAAAAAATCTTTAAACGATTCATCACTTTTGACGTTTGATGTGTCGGCTGTCGTTGAACTGTCTTTAACAGAACTAAACGATGATTCGCACTGTTCTAACACGGGAGGACATTCCAGCGGGGCATTTGAGGAGTGGATCTCTTTTACCGCTGTCAACAAAGGCAAATTCTTAGAGTCATTATCACAGGAAGTAGAGACGATTACTTCGGCACCCACTTCTTCAACACATGGGTCAATAGTATCTGCAACGTCAAAAAACGTTGATGAACAATCGACAATTTCACTAATATGGTTGTCGACATCGCTATGCAAATTTACATCGAAATTTAACACTTCAGTTTGTATTGCATTGCAAGTAGAGGATAAATCTACTATATTGTTAGTATCTTTTTCAGGAGTCAAAACCTCTTTGGAAAGAACTGGAAACGTATTATAATTAGGAAAATCAATATCTAACGTCTCATCGGCTGTTATAATAATACTCTTTTCGAGCACTGGTGGATTTGAATCTTCCTCTTCCAGTTTATCTTCAAAATTCAGCAAGGAATGAATCTTTGATCGCGTCAGATACGACTTATTGCACCTTTTAAAATTAGACTTGCCAGGAGATTCACTTGGCAGTTTTGTATAAATTTGGCCACTGGCTGTGGAACTTTTATTCATCTTGGCAGGCTTTTCCCCAGATACTTTGCCAAAAGCGGAACACGAAGCAGCTTGCCTTACATCGAGCTGTCTCAAGATATTATCCGGAGAAAAGTTTTTAGCCCATTTAATTTCATGCAAAGATTCATACAATCTTTCAATTTCAGGACGACGTCTCCTATTGCATTCGTTTTTATGAGCCATGTTTTCTTGAAAAGAACATTCGTTTCCATGAGCCATGTCCTCTTGAAATGAACATTCCTTTTCGTGAGCCATGTTCTCTTGAAATGAACATTCGTTTTCACGAGCCACGTTCTCTTGAAAGGATACCTTCGACATTTGGACTTGCCTGATGGGTGTTTGAGCATTATTGCTATCAACGAAAGTTTTCACCTTAGTGCGAGATATAACTGTCTTTTCTTCAACCGTTTGTTCACCTATTTCATTATATTGTCTACTAACCACAACAGTTGTGCAGGTGGCAGTGCAATCACAGCTGCATGCTTTTCTGCGTATGTTGCGTCGCAGATTGTGCCGGAAGGGCAACACAGCATTCATGTCCAAAGGATGCGAGAGTCTACTACTCAGTAATGCTTCGTGTTGAAAAGTCGAAGGTGACATATCATCTAAAGTTTCAATAGAATTGATTTCGTGTGACACCTGAGCGGGAGGATTTATATCTTTATCACTCATGCAAGACACATTACTAGACGCAGAAGAGCCAGAAGAGTTGCGACATCTTTTCACCATCTTGCCAATAGACTCGTCTTTTCTAAGTCGCTTGCGACCAGAGAAACTTGAGTGTTGAGACGAATTTGAGCAATACAGGGTTGAGTCGCTCGAAGAAGAGGAGAAGGAATTACATCGAGACCAGTTTGACTGACTGTTGATGATTCCGTTACTCATAGAAAGCTCGACAGAACTTTGTTCCATTTTTCTGGATATTCTTCTGTTCATTTTTGAAAAATGAAAGAATTAACTTCAAACTTAAGACAGGTCGACAGAACTGTTTGATATGATCCAATTTCCCTCTTTCATCTGTAAACCTAAAGGGGGAAAAAAGCAAAAAACATTTTAGATATTATATAGTAATGAAATTTTATGCAATCTATATTATAAGTAAATTTTATATTATCTGCAAAGATTTGAAAAACAACCCAAAGAGAATATTTTAAGAAAAACTAAATATAATCAGGAGTGATTGTAAGCCCAACACAAAAATTCGAAAAATCTTTTGAGTAAAATCATTAAATACCCCACTTTAAAAAATTAAAGTCCCGCTGTGGACTGATCGTTAAGACACGGTTCCCAGCAGATCATTGAAGTCAAGCATCACTGGCTGCGATCAGTGGGTGGGCGGGTGTCCACGACGATAAGTCTGCGTAGGGATCAAGGGTGTGCGGTATTGGTCCTCGTTTAACTGTAATACAGTAAAGTGCTCGATTTCGAGTGCAGGTAGCCGGGTTACTCAAGTAGGGGTGTCATCCCCTCTGCACAGGATTGAAATTGTGATGGCATGTTTTCGGATCATTCTCAGGTCCCATTGTGCAGCTCTAGTGCGAGGTAAATGAATAAAAACAGCAACAACAAAAATTTATATCTTTATAAATTTAATTCATTGATATTTTCAAACATTCAAAATAAATTATATGCAGCATAATTTAAATGAATAATTATGCATAAGTTTACTTTTATTTCTAATCACATTTATTATTCTACCAAAAAAATAATTACAAATGAAAGAGAAGTCAAGTATAAATTCTAGTTCTCTAGTTCTAATATTTTTAAATAAAATATAAAAGAATTTTTATACATAAATGTGATCAATGATTTCTTGAATTTCCGGATTGCAATTAGCGAATAATCCGGAAATCTGTAGCTCTTCTGGAGCACAATCATCCCTGTGTAATAAAAAAAAAATTTGGTAAAATTAAAATTTACTTTAGCAGAAAGTTCTCAAAACTGTGACATATGTCTCATAACAGATGCACATGCAAACTCGCAAATATTTTATTAAATACGTAAAATGATTGGTGCTTGCATAGGCTATGGTCTGATGATAAGCAGAAATGAGTTGTGGTTCAATGAATAGTGAAAACGTTTAACAGAACAAGATGAAAACTACGCTTTTGCATAATACATGATAAAGAAGAAAAAAAAATCTCATTTTTGAAAAGGGAATATAAAGTAATTATTAAAAATCCCCAATGAAAAAAAAAGCATATTTAAAGGGCTTTTAAAAAACGAAAATTGAAAACAAGTGCTTTTTAAAAATGTTACACACCATGAAACAAATGCAGAATTTACTTTCCTTCCATCTAAGAAATGCAGAATGCAAGTACTGCAACAAGGCTATTTATGGAGTGCACATATTTAACAAATAATGCAACTTTCCCTGATTTTTAAAATTAAAATAATACTTCCTGACAATTTAAGGTTTTCCTTATTCTCCTTGACCCATGGGAGCCCTTTGAATACCTAGTGCAAATTCCTCACAAAAAATTTAGTGTTCTTTTTTTTTAATTAATTACAAAAATGCAGAACATTTTGTTATACATACATATGACAGATAAATATAAACTTGAAAATGTTAAGTTTTCAACAAAAATATACAATAATAAAACAAACGGAAGTTATAGCTGAGTATGCTTAGGAAAATGGAGATTCTACGAATCAAAGTTTAAGTTATAAAGTAAGACTTTTTGAGTTTTAAGAAAGATAAACAAAAATTTTTTTTTCTCCAAGCTCATAAAATTTCTATCAAGAATGGGATACAGGATTATTTTTTCCATTCCATTCTTTTTAACTGGTTCAATGCAATATTGAAAGTATTTGAATAATTATAATTTAAAATTAAGAGTTAAGTCTACACAATTTATGAAGCTTACAAAAAGATTTAAAAAAAAAAAAATGCAATATAAAACTTAAACTTAAGGGTTTTAAACAGTTTAAGACAGTTTTGGACAGGATGGTTTAAACCATAGATTAATCTATTCAGTTCTAAACCTTGCCATCTCTCTATAAAAAATATTTTACATTTGTGTCTAGGTAATAAAGAAAATCTAATTTGATAATACTTGAAAATAAATGAGCGGCTGATTCTGCAATAAAGGGAAAATTAATTGTATGTTACTTATTAAAAAATAAAACATTGATTGAAAAAAGTGTAAAAAATTATACTAAAATATTTCAAAGTTATACATTATCAGAATAAATCATCAGAAGAGTTTAAAAGTGTGAATTTTATTTCATTTTTGAGGTGAATGGCAATATGGGCGTTTTAAGAGAACGCCATACCACGTAAGAAAATATGTGGTGGGATATCTCTCTCATAGAATTTCAAGCTTCATATTTTATTTTATAACCGATGGTGAACAGGTTGTCTAGCCAATTCTTTCAATAATCACCTTTTAAGTACTTTTTAAGCACTCAAATAGTTTAAAGAGCTATATACATTAACAAAATGCAAAATAATTTTCAAAGACTTTACATGATCATGATAAAATAATCAGTTTCTGACAAAAAGAACTCTTTTCTTGATTACATTAGCCACCATAAATAGATAGAGATCTTTTGGTTAGATATCAGAGTGTCGAAAATGAAGCTGAAGCCAGAAATTGAGAATATCTTGCAAAATGCTGCAGAGTTATACATGAGAGTGCAACAATCTCACCAAATTCAGCTCAGTAGATGGACTTGCAAGTATTTTCACCAAAAATGTAAAATGATTGGCGCTTTCATGTGCTATAGACGGTTAGAACGCCGAAATGTGTTATGGTTGAATGAATTGTGAAAACGTCGAATAGAACAATGAGGAAAACGTGGTTTTGTATACGTGGTGAAAATTGACATGGTAAAGAACTCGACGGAATTGACATGGTACTAGAAAACGTGGTTTTGTATACATGGTGAAAATCGACATGGTAAAGAAAAAAGTATCACTTTCGAAAATAAAGCACTTTTAAAAAATAATCAATGAAAAAAGCACCTTTAAGGGCTTTTAAAAAACAAAAATATGCACTTTTAAGCACTTTTTAAAAACACTACGCACCCTGGTGAACAGCCTACCCAATTTTGGGTTTACGACTAAAAATTTTAATCCCAATACAGAAGAGAAGGGAGGTCCTGGATCCGTACCCCCAGAGGTATTGATTTATTATGGGAACTTGAAGGATTTTGCAACCCCAACAAATTTAACGCACATCAATCACCATTTATTACACAGGGAGTCTCTGGCCGGCGAGAATCGAACCCACGACCTCTCGGACATGAGCCAAGTGCCCTACCAACCGGGCTATCCTGGCCCATACTTCATATTTGTAAAAATTTTGAAGTTTGTCTGTAAAAATTAATAGCTACCTGCCTTAAATTTTTTTTTTTTTATTGATCCCATTAACTAGACAACAGGGTTGCAAAAAATACCGGGTTTTTCTAGAAAAACCCAACCGGGGTGGGATTTTCTGGGTTTTAATGGGCTTTTCTGGTATTTTTGGGCTTTTCTGGGTTTTTTATGTTTTAATGGAGTTTTTTTTGAAAGAGAGGGCAGGGATAAGTACCTTATTTTAAAACAGCCTATTTTAATATTGATAAAGTTTAATTTTATAAATTGACTTAACATATAGGTAATTAAAAATTAATACAAATAAATTAATGCAAAAGTCTGAAAAAGTTTCCTCTGACATCACTATGCAAAATGTTATATTTACTCACACACATCACACATTTGAAACTTATTTTAACACAGGATTACTTTTAATTTATATTTTAGTCTTAAAAAATATTTGAGGAAAATATTTTATTTGCAAAGAAAGCAAATGAAAGGCACTGACTAATCAATAGCCATACAGTCAAATCTAGCCAGCAAGGTGACTGACGTGTCTCCAACATAGTTAGTTTTTTCACCATAGGTTAGTTTTTTTAGGCTAGACTACATATATATTTAAATAGAATAGCTTTTCAACATAACAAAGGATAAAAAAGAAATCAATCTTAGAAGAACCCAGTAAAGCCCACTTTAGGGTGGGTTACCCAGTAAAACCCGGGCAGGTTTTACTGGGTAGGTGGGATTTTTGCAACCCTACTAGACAAGTATTGAAGCAATCATGCCTTGGTTATAATGCTATAATGAATGAGAATGAAATTGTTTAGTATAGCTGAAATATCATGGTTAAATATCCCATAGATTACGCTTTGAATGGTCACCATTTCGTAAAAGAAAAAAATATGAAACAAAATTCCCTGTATTTTCCTAGGTTGTAAATTCCCTGTTATTTTAGGTGATTTTTAAATTCCTTGTATTTTCCAGGTTTTTCCTGTGGATTGCCAAAAAATAATATTACAAAATAGACCTTAATATAATACACAGTGAACAGTTCTCAATTGGAAAAAATGTTTGCTTTTGTAAGAAAGCATATGCAAATTTCTAAACATTTCAAAATATTATTCCCCTGAAAATTAATGTTCAGTTTAAAACATATAGATGCTCTTAGATAAAATGACAATTACTTTTTTACAATAACATGTGGTTGCTACACATAATTATTTAAAAAAGAAAAGTTCCAAATTACAGTAATTACAAATCAGAATTAAAAATATATTACTTTATAAAGTTGAAACAATGATAGATCAAAGAAGCATAAATTGAATGAAAATTTTAAATATTTAGATATAGTAATCAGAATTGTAAACATATTGCTGCACAAAATTAAAAGAATGATAGAACAATAGATTTATTAATGTTTCATAAAATTAAATTATATGATCTTGTAAACTTAAGCAATAGAGTATTGAAGGGACTATCAAGAAATTTTGCATTACACATGTAAATACTCACATTAATCAAAAGATTCAATTACCTAAGTTTTATTGGTCTTTATTCGGATTTCGTCTTGAAACTGTGAGATACAAAATAAACATTAGATTCCAAAACAAACATAAGGACATATAATTATTAATTTATACTACTTGACATATATGATTTACAATAGAATAAAAACAAGTAGTACAAGTAAATATGTTATGTTGGATGATCGTATGAAGTAAATTGTATTGCGTTTCAAAAATGAAATCAAACGAGCATGAAGGTAAATTTGTGCTTTTTTTAAAAAAATATTAAAGCACATAGCCATTACATACCTTTAAGAATCAAATGAGCAAATAAGAAAAAGATAATTTCCATTCAAATAAAGAAGCAATAACCTTGATTGCCCGATGTTTCTCACAGTTTTGGTAACACAGCATCACATCGGACAAATATTTGTACCCAAAATAAAAACTGAAACGTTCAAATTATGAAAACTGCGGTAACGCTTTGTATTTAAACAGTAATAAGATTAGAATATATTTTACAAGCATATGATTATTAGTAAACGATACGAATTTAATCTGCTTTTCACTTTTCTAAAATAATGCGATCGTATATTACACATATTGCTAAAAAGGGTATGTATGTTGTCAAAACTGATGCCACTTTTTGAAATCCACTTTCGACGAATAACTCTGAACTTAAGTGGACAAATACTTGAAAGAAAAATTCTGGAGAGATTTTTTTATGAATTTCAAAAAATTATCACGTAGTTAAATAAGGAAATTAATCCTTAAAATACAACTTATAATATTTTAAACATTATGTTTAAAAACTCGTAAACTTATTAATTTAAAGAATGGCAACTATGAATCGCGGCAAATTAGTTCTTGTTTTTAAATTTTGTTTTGTTGTCTAAGTATCTGTTGTCTAAATATCTTTATTTTGTTCTCTAAATTCGTCCTAACCTCACTTTAAAATGCATCAGTGTTCTTCGGCATGAATTTATAAATTCGTTTCTATTCATCACCATCTCAGTAATGACTTTCGAAAGGCATTATGTTGATAAAGCCATCGATACTTTTGTTATTGACATTTCTAAATCAATTTTAGAATATAATTTCGATCCCAAGTGTGATAAATTAGTTAGTAATATTCTCCTCTGTGCATTAGTTAATATTCTGTTGGCATAATTTTTCTTTTAGCAAAACGAGAATGTTCAAGAAAACAAACTGAAAAATAAATGGTTCCTACTTAAAAACGATTGGTTCCTTTTAAAATAGGTCGCATAAATACCTTTTGCATTTTTTGTACCTAGAATGTTCTACATTGTTTGCAGTTATAAATATATTTCCGTTAATAGGAATCTGAGGTATTACAAGATTTTTATTTTGAAGGCAAGACTGGGATATTTATCTGGTGGGCAGTAGAAATACATTAATTGGAAGCCACTTTTCCCGTTAAAAGTACCTTTTGTTTCACAGGGAAAACCTGGAAAATACAAGGAATTTAAAAATCATCAAAATTAACAGGCAGAGAATTTTCATTTTTTCCTTATAAACTGGGAATTTTGTTTCTTATTTCGTCTTTTAAAAGATGGCAACCACTCAAATCGTAATCTATATGATATTTCAGCTATACTAAGCTATTTCATTTACTATAGCATTATTTAAGTATTACATATTCATAAAGTTAGGAAAATAAAAAAAACTATAGTTCATTCAAAGACTGACAGGCAAAAAATAAAGTTTCAGGGAAAAATTCTGTAATTCAAAATATGTAATTTCCTCTTTCCCTGGTAGAACCTGTCCTGTTAGCAATTTTCCTCCTGTTTATCCAATGATAAGGAATTTTTGATAGGGTTGCTAGGTTTATTGATCTTTATGTGAATAACTGGTTTGCAGACAATAGTAGCTGAAACAACAGCAGAAAAATCAAAAGAGGAATTTTTACTGTTTTGTGATGTTGCCAAAAAAAAAGAAGAGCAAAAGAGTTTCTTAGTGTTTAATCCACAGCAGAAGAGATTAGATAATTTTTTTCGAAATATTTGCATGGAGAAAAAAAAAATTGTGGGAGGTTATAAAAATTGTCCTTATCCTCTCTCATGGTTACGCAAGAGTCGAAGGGGGGTTTTCAATCAATAAAAGCTTATTGGTTGAAAACCTCAATGAAGACTCTATTATTTCACAAAGGTGTGTGTATGATTATGTTTCATTTATAAATGGAATAAAAAAAATAGACATTAATGAAAAAATGCTAGATGCTGTGAAAGGATCTAGAGCAAGATGGAGACATGCATTAGAAGCAAAAAGAAAAACGAAGGAATAAAAAAGCTGAAATTTCTAGAAAACGAATTAAAGGAAAGATGGATGATTTGAAATTAAGTAAATCTAAATTGACCAAAACTGCTGCAACAGAACTGGATGTTCTTGATTCAGAAATTGTCAAACAACAAAATATGTTGAGAAATATTATATAACATAGGAGCCCCTGAATTTCTCCGGAAGCTTACAGTATTACAGAAATTAATTTAAAAATACTGAAAAAAAAAAAGATATTTTTGATTTTATTTTTCTCACAAGTTGCAATTTGTTCAACAAAACAATTTGTTCTTGTGGAATATAACATTTCTTTCAATTTGTTTTTGTAGTATATCTATTTCATTGAGGGACGAAAAAGCTGCTAGTTGCAAGCTTGTCCTCAGCCTTATTGAGAAGTGCTGTTACCAATTATTCACCAAATTTTAAAAAAATTATCAAGAGACGTAAAATAAATGTGTTTATTTTGTATTTTTACTTATATATTCTTAATAAATATGATTTATGTAAAAAAAAATTTTTTAATACTTTTTAAATAGTACACATTTATTTGTGGCTCGCGAAAAATTTCAAATTTTGAAAAATGGCTTGACTCTCAAGGATCTTGGCCACCCCTGATTTATATGAACACCTCAAAGATTATGCTTCTGTTCCTTTTTTTTTACCCTAGCTGTGTTAAATACAGTCTTCAAATTTATAAGAAAATGAAAGAAATTTTCAGTAGGGAAGAAGCATTGAGAGTATTTAAGACATCATTTTAACAGTCTCATAAACTTTGTTGTCCAGATCAAAAGATGCCGCTGTCTGAGTTATTTCACAAGATCAGTATCATTTTCTCTCCTTTCTTTACAAAGATAAGGCAAAGTGACAAGAGGAAGATTGATTCTTTAGTAGTGAAATAACTTAACAATATTTTTAGTTATGGATTAGGAAAAAATTTACATGCTTTAGTGAAAAGTTGCATTTTTTTTCTTGCAATTTAAAGCAAAATTTTAAATTTTAGAAAAAGTAGCATCCAGTTTGGAGAGATAAAAAATAACGTTTCAGGGCCAAGATGACTGTCCGCGTCCTTTTACGGGAGTGTTTGCTTTGCGGAAAATGTACATAATAGTTTATTTGTAGAAGATTCCCAGGGAATTAAAAATATGTCCGTATTGAGAGGTGTCCGTTTTGCAGGAGTGTTCATAACAGGAGGTTTCACTCTTATATGTGTATATATATATGTATATTTATATATATGTATATTTATATATATGTATATAGATATGCATACTTACATATATCCAGGGATATAGATATGCATACTTACATATATCCAGGGAGGAGAGCCCCCTCCCCACTTTTGAGATACTTTCACTGTCTCTCGAAAAACAATGCATTTTTCTCCATTGCTACCACTTTCCGTAAACTGTACTATTCTACTACTGTACAGCACCATCCAGTTAATAATTCTATTTGTTTAACATTGAATGCAAGCTAGTTTAGATTTTCCAGTTATGTTTTAAATGATGACGCTACATACTCTTTTATTATTTTAAGTAATCAATAATTTTTTTCCAGATCAATTTTATCAAACTATGCAGTTTCTTAAAATCATCTATGAGGTGGAATTTTAACTTTGAAGAGTTTTATAACTGTCTCTTGAATATTGTAAGTATAACTTTTTATATAATGTCAGAATAATGTAAAATAATCTTTAAGTGACTTTTAGACTCCAGTAACGTAGTTTTAATGTATATTCGAGGGGGGGGGTATCTCCTTTTGATATACATAATGCGGTTAAAGTGTTATAATTCACTTATTTCATCGAATAATTAGTTATTTCAGGAAATAGCTAGACCAGTCAGTTTTAATTATGTAACAGATGAAAAATTTCATACTTAGTTATTCTATGAAATAACTAATGATAGACAGTTAAGGTGAAAAATTAAAAGCTATTTTATAAATTAATTGATCTTAAATAGCTAAAATCTTTCCAAAAATACATTTTATCTCTAATGCGGATAATCAATTGATAAAAATATTAAGGAGAAGCTGATTATATAATTTACTATTGCTCATATTAGTAACTTTGTCTAAAGGCAACGGAATGAAGCATGCAAACACGCGTCCCTGCAAAGCAGCTATAAGATGTTCAAAACTGACTAAAAGTAGCTAGAACCAGTTCAAAGAACTTATGAGTTTCATATTTCCTACTTTAAAGATCAAGTAATCATTATTCTATAGAATACCTAGTTAAATCGAATATATATATATGGGTGATTCTTTTTAAACATGACAATTCGACCAAACAATTTCTTCAAATTTAAAGTCTTCAATATAATCTAAAAAAATTTTTGTATACTTCTTTAGTTACACTTATTAATATCTTACAGACAGCAGTGTAGTTTATTGACATTTGCTTGAGAAAAAAAAAAATAAAATTGAAATTCACCAAATCTTGAATTCCAGGAAAATGACATATTAGCTTAGAAGTTTAAAAGACAGTCATTTTAAGTTATTAATGAGTAACTCAACTTAAACCTTTATATTAGATTGACCATATATTGTTTAAATTAATTCTTTTTGTCACTGTAGAAAGAATCAAAAAAATTTTTGTTGCTGATATGTACAGAATAAAATTGTGTATAATAATTAATCATTAAATAAATAACTTTGATTACATCCAAGCATATTACAATCATACATAAACTTGGTATTAGGTTAATTTTTGCTTTTCCTCCTTACAGTATTAGCAATTAAAAAAAATTTCTGGTAACACTTGAATGTCCTGGCATTCATAAGCCAGGATAATGACAAATTCACCATTTTATAGCATATAACTTTACTTTAATTTAATGTTTTGGCCTAAGAAGTTTATATTCTGCAGAAAACAACAGGATTTCTTAAAATAACTCAGATAATTCTATGTAGTTTGTTATTAATGATTTCAAGAAGCCAGGAAAATGACAACACCAATACCTACTCACATTGAAAAAAATTTTGAAATAAATTTTGAACCAGAAAATTGGTTCTTTATAAGACATGTTCATATAGGAAAGTATCTAAACAATCTATTAACATAAGATATTGATTGCTGGCTCTATCTATTTTGGTTATAAACCACTAAATAAAAGTAGCCCGGCAAATGACTGATTTTCTTGGGACAAACAAATTATCAACAGAAAAAATTATTTAAAAGAAGTTTTTGTAAATAATACCCTCTGCGTATATTCTAGAAATGCTTACACCGGTTAAGATAAAAAAAAAATTAGATATTGAAAAATTTGTTGGAAGTTTTGAAGCTAGTTATTATAGGAAACATTGTTTGTGACATGCCAGATACATGAAATTTTAAAGCTCAATTAAATTTTTTAACTATACAAAACAGTTAATGCTAGTGCAAAGTCATTTTAAATTTAAAAATGCTAACAGCAATGCTATTCACTAATTTTTTTAAAAAAAAGTTCTTGGAGCAAGGGACAGTGAATTGTCATATTTCGTGAGAATCATCCATATATTCTAACTGTTAAAATTACAAAAAGTGAATAATAAAAAACTTTTTATATCTACATCCTCCTTACCGTACAATAGCTCATTAAAATAACTAAGAATACAGCTATGAACATTAAAAATATTTGAATGTTGTGCTTCAACTTATTTTTATATAAAGCAATATACATACTGTTTACACTTCTCCATTCTACTATTTTAGCATCAAATGCGCTTAGAAGTACTTTGGAATCTTCATATTTTTCAAATTCTGCCGTTAGAAATATACTTATGCAAGTAAGCTTTCATATTTACTTTTCTTGTTTAATAGCTTATATTGTGTCATTAATCCCTTAACTTAAAACTTGAGATAATTGTTAAGTAAAGGGGTTCTAGTTATGTTATATTGTCAGCCCAATGGCAGAATCGCAGTGACACGGCGACATTGCCGCGGAATGTTAGAGTTCTTGTAGAAAGATTTTTCTTTTGAAAAGTAAAACAATTTAGTTTTCTTTTGTACAGAAATTTACTCATAATATTTGAATCATGCATTTAGATAATCACTTTTAGACAGGGCTTGCCAAGTGGGCCCACTTTGAACCCCCTCCCCCCCGGGTTTTATTGAATGGGCCCACCTTGAAAAACCCACTTGGAACACTAAGTGGATTTTTTCGAAAAAAAAACTGTTTTCATTAAAACTTATTGATGCACATTTAATTTTATATAATTTATTGTGCAGCATAAATTTGTCAAATATAATTTCGTGCTTCATATGTTTAAGTTTTTAATATTTGTAAAGTAAGAGAAACTTTAATCTATAATATTATATTACTATTGAAATCTTTAAGCGGGTTTTTTCTAAGAAAAAAACCACTTAAAAAATTTTTTACTAAGTGATACATCAAATTTAAACAGTTTTATTTTCTGGTTTTAAAAAAAATAATCTAAAACTTTTTATATATACTTTTTTTCATAATTTTGTAGATTAATTTATTTTTTGAAATTAAAAATATAAATTTAAAATTATTATTCTAAAAATGAAGCCTTTTTCCATAGGTTAAATATTTGGGGAAAAAATGGGACCTGATACTCTTTATAAATATACGTCATTTTAATTTCACTTTCTATTAATCTTATTATAAAATCATGGAAGAGCATTAAATATTTATTTCAGTTTTATTTTATTAAAATTTAAAGTCGGATGAAATTTTAGTTTTTACGGATTATATAATTATATTAATTATATAAATAAATAATTATATATATTATATTAATAAATNTAAAACTTATTTTAATTTTATTATATGTATTTTACATTTTACACTTTTTAAGCTTATACAGAACTATTTAATAAATAAAAATATTTACACAGTAAAACTTTAAAGTTTACTAAATGAAGAAAAAAAAAATTTTCCTTGTGTTTTTTTTTTTTTCAAATAAAACCGAATTTTCCCTGGGTTTTTTCAAACCCTCCTTTTAGAGACTCTCGATTTACGCCAATAGTATCGTAAATCGATGTAATGTTTCTATTGTATTTTTCGCAGTTATCGATATTGATTTTCACATGGATTTTGAATATCTCGATATATTTCGAACAGTATGATTCGAATTATACGAAATTCGAATCGCATTCAAATCATACGAAATTCGAATCGTGCAATTGAGTATTTACTTTTTAAAGCAATAATTCTATCGAATTTTTGGCAGTTATAGCTATTGATTTTTTCATAGTTTTTTAATCCGATATGTTTTATGCGATAGTATTTATTATAACAACGTAATCTCGAAATGAAGCAAGCATTTGAGGAGCCTGATTCTCTTGATTCCATCATAAATTTTTTTTCCGGCTTTTACTGCAACGAATTTCATGATTTTGAATTATATTTTTTATTGTGATAATTATTCACAAAATGCAAAGAAGGAAATAATTTGTATGTCCCTCTCACAAAATGCAAGAATATCACCCATAATATTAGAATAAAAAATTATTACATGTTTTATTAACCCCTTACCTGCCGAGTAAAAATTTATGTGATTCACTCCCCAGTGCCACCGTTTTTCGCTCAAGTGCGCTTTGTTACGTGGCGTTTTGGTGTGGGGGGGGGGAAAGATGCACGCTTTGCAATTTAAAAACAGTTTACTTTCACAAGAGAAGAAAAAGGAAAAAAAGAAAATACAAAACTTAAATTAAAGAATAAAAATACTATCTAAAAGATTTTGAAACTTAGCTGTTGTATGATAAATCCTGTAACATGGTTGGACACATAAACCAACATCACATTCATTGCACTGATAGCGGGATTCTCGACGAATATACACGGGAAACAAAAGCGAAAGAAGAATAAAGACGACCTTACTCAAATCGAAACACACAAGCAATAATTATTATGATATAACTTTTCCAACACATCCCTTTATCATTTCCTCTTCCCCTCCTCTGAAATTGGTTATACATACATTCATTGCAAACACTTCCATTGGTGAACACTTTCAAGGTCATTTTACTGCATGCTCAAGTCGGGGGTGTAGCTCTATTTAAACAGCGCAATGCAAAATATCGTACTTCTGGAAAGCGTATATATACGCCTGCGGCAGTTAGCGCATCGTCTGGCCGAGACGTATATATACACCAGTGGCAGTTAAGGGGTTAATAAAATATATATAGTCTTACAACACTTCTGTTATTTTAAATTTAAAACATATATGTTTGTTATTATTAAAAGTATCTTACAGAAATATAATGGTGATAGAGAGTTTTATCGCAGATAGCTCAAAAAACTTCTGCCACAGGGGTTGTTAGAAACAATAAAGAAGTTTTTATTCACAAAACATAGTGCAAATTTAAATTTGAGAATGTCTTTTTTTTTTCAATCTGTTTGTACTTAATTCATGTTAAATTGGATTGATAATTAAATTTGTTGATATTTATAGCCCCAAGCAAAATATTTTCTGATTAAATAGCTTTGAAGGGATGACAGAAAAATCAACAGATCATATTCATAAAAAATTATTATTAGAAGCAATCATGCCTTTCATATGCCATCTTTAGTTAATTTATCAATTACAAATTTAAAGATATAAAATTGACAGGATCATTGTGAAGTTACAGGGAGATGCACCTTGTTCCGAAGTTGAATGGCAACTGAATGATATTGACATGAGCACCGCCTCATGGCATCATGGTGCATAGGGTTTTTAAAAAGTGCTTAAAGGTGCTTACTTTCATTTTTTAAAGCCCCTTAAAGGTGCTTTTGTCATGGAGTGTTTTTAAAAACTGCTTAATTTCCCCTTTTCGAAAATGAGATTTTTTTTCTATACCATTTCGATTTTCGTCATGTATTATGTAAAAGCGAACTTTTCACATTTGTCTATTCAACGTTTTCACAAATCATTCAACCACAATCCATTTCGGTGTACCGTCGGTCCATAGCGTATGAAAGCACCAATCATTTTACATGTTTGATGAAATAGTTGCAGGTCTGCATGTGCCTCAGTGAGATTATTGCTCTCTCATGTGCAACTCTACTGCAGTCTCTATTTCGGGCTTCTTTTTTCACCCTCCGATATCAAACCGAAATATCTCTTTGACATTTTATAATGGCTAATGTGATCAAGAAAAGAGTTCCTTGTCAGAAACTAGTTATTTTATCATGTTCATGTAATGTCTTTGAAAATTATTTTGCATTTTCTTAATGTATATAGTGCTTAATAATATTTTTGAACGCTTAAAAAGTGCTTATTTTTTTGTTGAAAGATTTGACTACTCATCTTGGTCATAGTTTGACAATTCTTAACAAAAAGAAAGGATACATCTTAACTTTTTTTTTATTACAATGATTAAATATTTTTTATTTTCAGACTAAAATCAACAGAGGGTATTTTAAAATTCTCTGAACGGTTTTGTATTTTCTGTCTTCAAGACAGCAGTAACCAATGGCAAGATCTTTCTTCCAAAACAGGTAATTTCACTTTGAAATATAATTTTTTGTTCAGTATGTCAGGCTTGCCACTCCACAGGAAAAACTTGGAAAATACAGGGAATTTAAAAATCACTTAAAATAACAGAGAAAATGCAGGGAATTTTGTCTTTTAAAAAAGGGTGACCACTCAAAGCGTAATCTATGGGATATTTAACCATGATATTTCTGCTATACTAAACTATTTCATTTACTATAGCATTATTTACATTCAGCTGTTTTTCCAGCAATTAACTCTGATAAATATAGTTAGCCCAATGTAACTCACACGAGAGCAGAGTAATTGTTGTTTCCTCTTAAAATATTGTGTATAATATGTACGGGGACAGCACAGGGAATTTTTTTTCCAGATTTGAGTGGCAACCCTGTATGTAGAGCAGTGGTTCTTTGTGAACTTAAATAAGTTTCAGTTAACTTTGTGAACTTGTGAAAAATAAGTTTAAAAGTAGTTTATTTACCTGTGTAATGTACTGAGTAAAATAGTTTATGATATGAATTTTGTATGTAAAATAAAGTAATATGTACTACAAAAACGAAAGGTACTAATTATTAATTGTTAGCTTGTTTTTTTTTTGTTATCTTTTGCCAATTAGTTTTTCTAACTATTAATTGCATGGCTTAATTTAATTGTTAGGTTTTATTTCCTTTTGTAAGTTAATAATGAGCTTGCTCTCTTTCATCAATTAATAATTTTAATAGTCATTAAATTTCCTATTTATTTTAAAATTGTCGGAGATAGTCATAGCTTATTTTAATTGTTAGCTTCTCTTTTCTTTTGTAAGTTAATATTTAACTTGCTTTCTTTCGTTATGTAATACTTTTAATAGTCATTAAATTTTCTACTTGTATTAACATTTTAAAACTGTCAGAGATTGTCATAACTTATTTTAATTGTTAGCTTTTATTTTCTTTTGTAAGTTAATAAATAACTTGCTTTCATTCATTAATTAATAATTTTAATAATCATTAAATTTCCTACTTATTTTAAGATTTTCAGAGACAGGACTAGCGCCGACAAAGATGTTCACGCCAGTAGGGCGTGGAAAAATTATAAAAAGTATATATATATAATGTTATATATAAATACTTTTGTTTAATTTAAACTTTAGTCATAATAAAAAAAAACATTATAATTTTTTCTATTTAATTTCTAAAATTTGGCAGCACACAAATGTACCACGACAGAATGATTGAGAATCACTGATGTCGACTTAAAGTGCCTTTTTTTCTTAATCCTGTGATTACTGCTGTTAGAGCTCGAAACTGATACTCAAACCTTTTACAAAGTAAATATGCAAAAGTGTTGCAATTATATACTACTACAACTCAATGCTGACAGTCCAGTACCAACGAGATAGCTTTTGACAGATCTGGAGGTTGACCCCTACATTGGTGACCTGCACACGTGACGTGAACACGCCTATTTCGATGGATGATACACATTGAAAAGTTGACCTTCTATTTGTGTCATCATCCTACTTGCCTATTGCTTCTCAGTCTCATTTATAAGCTACGGGATCCTGCACACACTCGACTGCTAACAGGAGAGACCTCAACCGTGAACTTAATACAGCTCTGTGGACAAATGCTCAAAATTCGGTGAACTTAATTCAATTCTCCCAGTGTTTTGCAAATAAGGTAATTAGTGATATCCATACATTGAAATCTATCCCTGATAAAATTCTGGTAGGGGAGAGTATTGTGGCATAACTACCACTACGATTTTGAAACATAAATTCACTAATATATAAGACATGCTAACTGAATTCAATCTCGAGGTACCTTTTGATAGATGAAGGTTAACATTGTCGATTTCTACTGTCCCCCCAAAACCAACACAAACATTTTTGTCATTACAAACTTGTTTCATCCCGCCTCAAAATGAAACGAAATATTTTTTGCACCATTTTAATCAAATCTTTCCTCAAACAGGGATTTCTATCCAAATTTCACTTGATTTGCTCTTAATAAATAAATATATAATTAATAAAGTATCTTGCAAGTGTAGATTGTCTCTTTATAAATAATCCCAAGAAACTGAAGCGGTAAGATATTAAAACTTTATATGCTTAAAATTTTGTATATTTTTTAAGCGTATGAAGTTTTTTATCAAGTGATAAATCATTTATTTTATAGTATTTATTATTTAATTTTTATTTTATCTTTTATGTTTAAAATAGCTTTCTTGCAACCTTAAAACTACATTTTTTTTTTTTTTTTTTTTTTTTTTTTTTTTTTTTTNATTTATTTGTTCAATATTTAGAATGAAAGCATTGTCCTTTTATAATTTTTTAAAACTTTTTATTAATCATTATGTAATTACCCACCAAGTGTTCTTCAGGGACTTCTCTCAATGTATATTTTTTGAATCCTTGTATTAAAAAGTGGCCAAAAAATATTCAGCTTAGTAATTGCATATTAATATTCAAGTTTAAGAACAATCTATCCAAGTCTGACAAATCACTGTTAAGGTATATTATTTTAAGAAACATCTAGTTACAGCCTACAATCAAAGAGGTACAAAACCTCTTTGATTGTAGGTTGAAACAAGAAAATGTGTCTTAAAATCTTCTTTGAGCCCCTCAGTTTGTTTCAACTCATCTCAGTTTCAGTGGTTTTAAGTTTCAACTCCTCTCAAATTTTATTCATCAGCTTCTATAAAAGCCCTATTTGATCTTTCAATTTTTCTCAGTTCCTGTAAATATGTACTTTTTTGTCTTTTATGTACCAGGGGTCTGTTTAGAAGAAATTTGGGTCCGTTAACGGACCCGTCACAAAATATTTTTTCATAAAAACAGACCCTTCACAAAATATTTTAACTTAAAAATGGACCCTTCACAAAATAATTTATCTTTAAATTGAACCCTTCACAAATTTGTTTATCCTCATTATTGTTTTGTTAATCGAATAAACCCTTCCCTCGATGGTGGGGGGAAAGAAAGACAGATGTGAACAAACTAAGTTTTGTCTTCGGCAGACGCTTCTTCCGAAATGAATATTCTGCGTTCAGCAGTATAGGCTAAATACCAAATATTTGTATGTTGCATCTCTAATTTAATAGCAGCAATTGTTTGAAAAGAATCTTGTATCTATTTACAATTTAAAAACTTCTTGCAAAGGTTTTTAGCAAATTTTGCAATAACAGGACTATTTGCAGGGCTGCCATTGGCGACTAAAAAGGCTACTAAAGCGACTATTTTCATGCAATAGCAACTAGGGCGTCTATTATAGTAGAAATATGAGTAAAAACAACTAATTTGCAATGAAGTGCGTAAAATTGGTGACTTTTTTAAGCCAATTAGCGACTGAAATTAAGAATAACTTTGGTTTCCCCCTCTTTTTTCCCCCGCGCGTTTTCGTTTTATCCAAACTTTATTCTTCCTCACTGATGTCAAAAGCAAGACAGACATGTTTAACCAATCAGACTAATGGAATTCACACTGCGTAAATGCTCCTCCTGCTCATATAATATCTCTGAGGATTACGTTTTCTCCCCCCCCCCTCTTTTAATTTGAACTAAGTAGCAAAATTCGAGAAATTGTCTTTANACAAAAAAAAAAAAAAAAAAAATCTCTTCAATTACACAAAATGGGTAGTTAATTTTTTTTAGAGCTATTTACAATAGAAAAAAGGTAATGGTGATATTCGCTTTGTCCAATTCTGATCGTAATTTTTTTAATAAGCTTTAAATTTGGAAATGCTTCGGTTAGGAAAAGTAAATATAATAAAAACTTGATAGATGAATTAAATTACAATATTTCTATTTCTTTTCTTCAAATGTCTAAACTAAGCAGCTGCAAATTAGAGCCGAGAAAGGAAATTCGAGTTTCAAATTCACCTGTTCTGTAGCAGATAAAAATAAAACTCCCTGTTTTTATGCATAGTGTGACAGAATAAGGGTCCACAAGTAATTACAATTTTGGATCGGTTTGTTTTGATGTTCG